GTTTCCAAAACTGTTTGAGTCTGTGAGTCCATTTGGGTCATTTATCCTTTTATTCATTCGGATGTGTGGGGCCCTTATCATGTTCCCTTTATGGGCGGCTATCGCTATTTTCTCCTGTTTGTGGATGATTTCTCTCGATATTCCTGGATTTACCTGATGAAATCACGCGATGAAGTACCATCCTTGGTGAGGCAATTCCACCAGATGGTACTAACACAGTTTGGRACRAGAATAAAGATGTTCAGATYTGRCAATGCTAGGGAATATTTTGAGAGACATCTTGCCTCATATCTGTTGGAGTATGGTGTTGTTCATCAGAACAGTTGCTCCTGTAGTCCACAATAGAATGGTGTTGCAGAGAGGAAGAACAGACACATCGTTGAGACGRCAAGAAGCATGATGATCACAGCCACAGTTCCGGTTCGTTTTTGGGGAGATGCAGTTCTCACGGAAGTTTATCTGATTAACAGGGTGCCCTCTCGTGTACTCGGATTCAGCACCCCATTCAGCCTTCTTTTTCCCAGGGGGAGATGTTTCATATTCCTCTAAGGGTGTTTGGATGTGTCTGCTTTACTCATATTCTTGGCCCTTACCGTTCGAAACTTGATCTCAAGGCAAAGAAATGTGTTTTCCTTGGATATGCAGAGAATCAGAAAGGGTACCGCTGCTATGATCCAGTCTCTGGGAACCGATATGTTACTATGGATGTTACCTTTTTTGAATCTACGTACTTCTTCTCAAAGGATCCTTCTCATGGGGAGTGTTTTGGGGAAGTAAGTCAGCAGTCTATCCCTCTCCTAGTTCCAGTCCCTATGTCTACTCCTATGCTTGATCACCACCCGATGTCCCCCACCTTGCCACCTCCTTTGCGTTCCATTTCACAACATTACTCACGACAGAGACTCCATAAGGCGGTTGATTCCACTACAGTAGAACTCACACCACTTCCTGTCGATCCCTTGGAGACTCCAGATTCGGCTGATACGGATTCAGGTATTCCTCTTGATCCCACTATTATTTCAGTTCCCATTGATCCTACTAACACTGTTACAGAT